GGTCTGTCATGGGGGGGGGGGGGGTGAGCCTATATATATATATATACACATTTATATATATATATATATATTATAAAATATATTATAATATATTATAATATAATATGATATAATAATAGTATAATATAGTATATTATACACATATCTGTATGTAGTTACTACAGGCCCATATTCTAAGTATCTCCAACTCCGAAGCCTACTTCTTTGGCCAGCTTAACCCTCGAACCTTCGAACCTCCCGGGCAAAGCTTCTGCAAGCCTGCACCCCCCTTAGGGTTAAGGGTTTAGGGTTTAGGGTATAGGGTTTAGGGTTTGGGGTTTAGGGTTAGGGTTTGTGGTTTAGGGTTTAGGGTTTAGGGTTTAGGGCCCCTTCCACAAAACAAAGCAGAACGGGCCACCCTGGGAGTGCGCGTTGTGCGTATTTTACGCGCTCCTAGACACGACTCCAGAAAAAGTCTCCCCGCCCATACACAGAGACGCTGAGAAGCCGCAATGCCCGCATGCAGGGGTCTGAGTAAGTTCTACGATAGTGGCTTCATAAAAGTTTGGATTTAGGGTTTAGGGTTCTCTAATTATATCAAGGCACCCTATATCATAGAAGCCTCGTAGAATCCTAAAACAAACCCTTTACAGAATGCTTTCACGGAGCGCCCCAAGCCTTGAATCTTTGACTTTCAGGTACTATGCCCGACGAATGGGCCTGCCCGTGAAACACCTCATCGTGGTCGGGAAAGCCCAGACTGTTCCTTAATAGTTTGAGTAGGGCTCCTTTAAAGAGTTTGTTCAACGGATATTATAAGTGTTCGGCATAATACAGGGACATTAACAGTTCGAATAAACTACGGGGCCTGTTATACTTTGAGTACATGAAGGAGGCCTACGGAACAACATTCACATTCATTTAGACTGGGTTTGTTTTCGTGCCTCGGGTATGAGGGGTTCAGGTTTGGGCTTCAGGCCTACCAGGGGTTCAGGAGCTTCGTGCCTCGGGTTTCAGTCTTCTTTGGAATCAGGGTTTCTTGATTTTTCGGGTGTCGTGCTAGGGGTTTGGGGTTTAAAGGCTCAAAGGCTTTAGGAGTTTCATGTAGCTTTTGATGCCGAACACAGAAACCTGGAGCTTATAATTTAAATGATAAGCCCTAAACCCTAAACGCGTAACCCTTTTGCCTGCGGCCATCGGATCGTTTGGTTTCTGACCTGCAGGTTGGCAATGTTTGTTTTAGGGTTTAGGGTTTAGGGTTAGGGTTTAGGGTAGGGGTGAATGTACCCCCCTGATTAGTAAGCCCCCTTCAGTGGCGGCAGGATCGCAAAACTAGGATCCCTGTTCCTATTGCAATCCTCATGGCTGCAAATGGGTATACGATTGGGGCGATTAGGGTTCATGCATGGTTTCGGACTGAGGCGACGAACTCCAACGACATCCTGCACCGCTTTTTCACCAGCGGCAAGTACGACAAGTCGGCACCTCAGAGCAATGGCGGCCCCCCGGGAGCGCCAGAGCCGAACTTGATGCCGTAGACGTCGACGTATCTAGAAGGAGAAGAACCCATGCGGGCCGCTATTTCCTAAATCCTGAACCCTACTCTCTAAACCTAAACTCAACAGTTATATAGCGTTGTAGAGATGAAAGATCATGAGGTTGGATGGTGTCGTGAGTTGAGGATGCAGGCCGGAGGAAGTTGCGACGCGGGCCACGTTTCTCTGCTCAAATCAGCTGAGATGGCGTAAGGTTTACGATCTGAGTGTTGGGGAAGGCCACCCAAAATATCAAACCTGGCTCCCTCTTGTTGACAAAGCCAAACGCCATGGCGTTGGAGCTTGGGTTTTGTCGCAATCTTAAGCCTTCTGCGGTCGAGCGCTTCGCAGCTCGGGGTTTCTTCATCCGCCATAATTTTCACTTTACTGTAGGGCCTTAATAAAAAGATGGGGTTCGGGAGTATATTATACTCTAAGTCCGATAAGGAACCCCCGAAAATAGTATAGGTAATTATTTAGGCCGCTATATTAGTCGGGTTTCAGGTTGGCCCCGAAACCAAACCGTCGAGGCGGCACCCTGAACTCTGAAGCGCGGACCTCTGACTTGAGGTATCCCGTGAAGCAGCCCTAAACCCTAAACCCTAAAACCCTAAACCCTAAACCCTAAACCCTAAACCCTAAACCCTAAACCCTAAACCCTAAACCCTAAACCCTAAATGCTAAAGCGCGGACCTCTGGCTTGAGGTATCCCGTGAAGCAGACGATGTCCCCCTCCATGGACATCGGCATCAGCAGCAACTTCGAGAGGTCAGCCTGCATCCCTTTTAGGATTTAGGGTTTAGGGTTTAGGGTTTAGGGTTTAGGGTCTCGGGAAGCTTCATGTCTTGAGCTACAAAGCCTGAGGGTTTAGGGTTTACTTAACATGGGGGCCTAAATAATTCCCTAAACTACTTGGGGCTTCCTTATTATAATGATAGTATGATATACCCCAAAGCCCTATTCTATTTATTTTAGGCCCCTACATTTAGGGCTTCGGGTTTTGGGAGGCAAGCATGTGGCCCGGTAAATGTTGCTGCGAGTAAGATGATTCGACAAACAGATATTGCCGTGTTGCCTCTGATAAGGGACCCAGGAAGGACATGAGCATAAGCGTTTTGTAGGGATATCTCACCTTTTGGGGCTTCATTACAAGTGGGTTTATATGGGATATCCCATTCCTAATTTTTGCTTATGTGCTTTTCTGGGTCCTATCTGAAACCCCCAACCCTACTCCCTAAACCCCTAAACCCCTAAACCCTAAGCCCCTTCTCCCGCAAACGACATCTGTGCCACTGAAGAAGTCTTCGCCATGAGCCTGAAAGCCCGACGTCTTTCGGACTGCCGATTGTTGCCGGATACCTCTTCGACCTCTTCCCTGAACCCCTACACCCTAAACCGCTGAACTCCTACACCCTAAACCGCTGAACCCTAAACCCCAGACCCCGAACCCTAAACCCTACACCCCTAAGCCCTATCATGGCCAGATATCTCTTCGACCTCTTTGGAAAAGATGCCCAGAAGCTTTCCAAGGCCCGACCAAGCAGTGGTGCTTGGAGATTCGTGGGTGGCTATCAGTAGGTTTTAGGGTTTAGGGCTGGTTATAGGCGGGTTTTCCGTTAGGGGTGCCATATAGTTAGTTTATGAGTTGGGGTTTAGGCTAGTTCTGAGTGGGGTTATATGTCCCCTAATATGGTTCCTGAGCTTACTTATACACCCACCCATGAAGCTTCTAAGTGGAGCTCATGGGGTATGGACGTACATAGGCATATGTGTTTGTACGTAGGCATGTACATATTATATATATATATATATAATATATATACATACATGCTGACGTACATACACACACACACACATGTCTATCTAAATGCATACAGAGGCCTGTCATGTTCACCAGGCTGTTTTCAGGTATATCTCTCCGATGTCAAATGTTTCTGTTTTTGCATAAAGTCCTGCCCGCAATCCGAAGGTCATTTGTTTCGGACAGGGCAAATTGGCAAGTGGGGACTGAGATCACTCAGTCAGTCAGCCAGTCAGGCCGTCACTGGGGTTGGTCTCCTTGTGGACCTCAACTGTTAAGCTGTATGTCGCATTCATGCAGTATGAAGTGTTCTCTTGGAACTAAAGAGCGCGTAGGTTTGTCCCCAGAGCTCCCAGCATTTTGCTGGTAGTTATGGCCCAGCTTCCATGGTGAGACGCACGAAACCCCAAACCCCACAGCGTCAGTACTTGCCTGTTTTGGTCGAAGCTTATGCTCGACGTCGAAGCTCCTTGCTGCAGCGTTTTCTGCCCGATAGTGTTGACATCAACAACCCAGTCTAATGGCTAAGGCATGTTGGTTCTATTGGTGGGGTTGAGGGCATCTTGGTTCTAGGTCAGAGTTGGAACCCTAAAACCTAAATTGTGTCGGTTTCCTAAAGCGAGTAGGAGTGCCGATGGCAGGTAGAGGTTTCGGTTGTGGGCAGCAGGGTCATGACACAGAGCCTCGGCCGAAATCGTAATATCCTAAAATTGAGACACTTAGAACCGCCCTGAAGTATAGGCCCTTGGCATGGGATCGTTTGGTATCGCCTGGCTTAGGCAATGCTGGACTTCAAGTCTTGCGGCAAGCTTCATGTGGACGGCGAGGCCCAGCATCGGGAAGTGAAGTGTTTAGGAGCACGCATGCTCGACGAATGTAAATATGTATTGGTGCATTGCATCTTCGGCATACAACTAATATCTCCACTAGGATACTGTTATATTTGTTCGACATAGCAACTCTTATCATCACTGTTTTACCAGGAGTATCATTGCTGGTTTGAAGTTTCGCTATTGTGATCATTCTTGTTGTTTTATTATTAGTATGATCAACACAATTGTTATCGCTATGACTGACTAATGGTTTTTGGGTCTTGGCTATTGACTATCGGTATGTATTGGTTGGTGGCCAATGGCTACGGATTGATTGTGGGTCATGACATATCATGACTAAAATTGGTCGCGTCCTCAGTTGTTGTTCATTCTTCTCACTGTTCCAGGTTCTCATGATCCTGTTTGTAAGAACCTCCTTCAAAACCCAAAGCCCTAAGCCCTAAACTCTAAACCTTAAACCCTAAACCCCAAACCCTAAACCCTGAACCCTGAACCCTGAACCCTAAACCCTAAACCGTAAACTCGACGCCATGGAATCCTGGCACCAGGAACTTCAAAGGGCGCGGAAAGATTTCGTGTCGGCTTGCGCGACCGAGCAGCATCAGACAGACACGATCAGGCCGGGACCGGCGCCTTTCCTCTTTAGGGACTATAAGGCTTGGGAGTTTAGGGTTTAGGGCTTGGGGGTTTATAGGGTTTGGGGTTTGGGGGTTTTGGGTTTAGGGTTTGGGGGTTTTGGGTTTAGGATTTGGGGAGTTTTGGGTTTGGGGTTTTGGGTTTAGGGTGTGTGGTTGGAGGTACTGGGTTTGTGGGCCAAGTCTTTTGGCTCCTGTACAAAAGTTAGTCAAGTTCTGGAAGGCTAACAGCGAGTCCTGCTAGGAGGTGCATCGTGCATGAAGGAGTTATCAAGGTATGACTTGCATGTCTGTATGTCTGTATGTATGTATGTATGTATGTATGTATGTATGTATGTACGTATGTATGTATGTATGTATGTATGTATGTATGTATGTATGTGCATATGTATGTATGTATGGATGGATGGATGGATCAATGGATGGATGGATGTATGTTATGTATGTAATATTGTATTTAGTTGTTATTCGTTTGCTTGTTCGTTTGTTGATTTACTTGTTTGTTTCATTTACTTAATTGTCTGTTTAGGCATGTACATATATGCAGACTGCAGTTTCGTTTCCATGTAGGCAACATGTCTGTGCACGTCTCGCCTTCTGCTTCAGGCCCTATACCCTAAAACCCCAAGCCCGAAACCCTACACCGTGGAGGCAGTACGAAACCAGCTTCGGCTACACCCTTTGCCCCCACACTGCCTGCGGCGTCTCCGCGGTCGTTGGGCGCCGAGTTGGAGTTGATTTAGGGGTTTACAAACTTGGGCTGTTTTCAGCTTGCAGTTCAGGGTTTCGTTTGGGATTTCGAAATCCAAGCGGGTTACTGAAAATCGACATGGGTTCAGGATTTCTACAAAATTGGGTTTTCTTGTTGTCTTGGCTTCGTGAGGCTTGATAGAGGTGGCACTCCACCACGCTTATTCAGTGACCGAGTGGCCTGCGATGTAGAGCATTGCAGCATTACCTTAAGTTGGATTACGAAGGGCACTTGTGCCAATTTCCTGCCCTTGGGAATCTCAATCCTCAGGCCCAACCCACGCTGAATCCTAAGCGCTGAACCCTCCACACTAAACTAAGCCCTGAAGCCTAGCCCCAAACTGTCAACCCAAAACCCCCAAACCTGAACCCAAATCCCAGCCAGCACGCTGTAATAGAGATCCAGAGGACCAGTTGCGGCAGAGCCTCAACTGGGCGTCTGTCACGGCCTCAGTGGATGCTGCTGAATGTCGGTTGAGGGTTTGTTTGGGGGCTACTGACTACGAATGTGCAGATATGTGTTAGTATATCTGCCAATGTTTGCAGTTGAATCTAGACATGTGTGGCGCATCAGCAAATTTATATGAAGCTGTATGTATGTGTCCGTGTGAGTCTGACTCCCGCTCTCTCTCTCTCTCTCTCTCCCTTTCTCTCTCTGACTCGCTCTCTCTCTCTCTCACTCTCACTCTCTCTCTCTCTCTATATATATATATATATCTATATATATATATACATATATACATATATACATATATAGACCATGAAGGCGGTATGACGACGAAGAGACTGATGACAACTGGGGCCGACGGAAACGAGAGATGGTGATGGAGGGGATGATTTCGTGTTGCTGCTGACCTTGATGATGAGGACGTACCCAAACTCTAAGCCTAAACCCTAACACTATCCAGTTCGCTCCATGAAGCGTACTCACCCAGTACCAGCAGAACCTATAGAGAGAAATATAGAAACAGAGAATCCTGAATAGTTACCAATATTATTCCTTGGTTCCTGCATGGTACACTGGTACCACACAACATGATTCACCGTATCTTAGGGCCAGGACTCCGTTTTGCATGGAAGTCAAGTCTGGCTCTTGAGGCTAACCATGGCTTGCCCTGTCGGAAGCAAAACTCTACGTAAGCCCTCATGTGGTGGAGGTAAGGGATGTTGAGCTGAAATAAACTGAAGCCCCCATAGTTCTTGTAAGATAGCAGAATAGCTGCGGTAGATACTGGACAAAGGACATGAGCACATCATACAAAGTCTAGAGTCTACAACCACTAAACCCTAAACCCCAGGGGGCAGTTCATGTCGCAGTTCAGTGCGCTGGATGCGGGGGCTGAAGGGCGTGGGATCTACGGAAGACCCCAAGCAAGCCTTGCGCGGCTCCAGAGCGAGAAGCGCTTCTTTTCAATCCTACAACAGCACCTGCGGTAATGTTGACAACAGTAGTGAAGCCAAGACTGAGTAAATAACAACAGCCAGAAGAAGAACCTTGGCAACTATATTTGTGACAGTGATACTAGAAAATACTAACTAGTAGCAACAACTGTTATTGAACCCTAAACCCTAAACCCTAAACTGTGCTATGCTGCAGGTGCCAAACCACAAGATGGTTGTGCTGGCGACGGCACATCCTGGCAAGTGGCGGTCCCAGTGGGTCCCCAAACATTTGTCGTAGGTCCTTGAAACCGTCGAGGGTGCAGGGTTTGGGGTTTTGGGTTTAGGATTTGGGGTGTAGGGTATAGGATTGAAGGTTTAGGGACTTGCAGGATCAGGGGGATTCGTGAGTAAGGTTATAAGTACACGGACTAGGGCTCTAAGTAATTATACCTGTATTATATAACTGTATAGTTACCCTGTTTATGGACTATAGCCCCAGTGTTTATGTCGCATGATCCTCAATCTAGTTCCCGAGCAAGAACTGGAAATAGCCTTCGGGAGATGTGATTAGAGAGGCTTCCCTTGTCACAGGATCCATTTGGATCCTTATAGCCTCTAAAGCAAACACGGTTCAGGGCTTATAAAGTGCGGACTCAAGGTAAGTTACCCCCAGACTGCCTGGTACATCTATGTTGGTTCTGAGCTATACTTGTTTGACCCAAGCCCAACTTCCAAGCCAGCTCCCAACTTGCTGAACCCAGATTCGGAGCCTTCAGCCCCAAAGTGCAGCAACCTCTGCCTGAAAGGGTAAGTGTACCCTAAACCCCCAGTTACCTACTATGTAGGGTACTAGAGCCCCTAGGGCCCTATATAGTAGGTACCTGGGGGGTTAGGGTGTAGAAGTGTACAACTTGGCCTGCAATAACTCATAGCTAGAATAGGGTTTTGTATAGTACTTACTGGCTTACTGCCTTCATCGTCGTGATCAAAACCGTCTACGTGTCACATACCGTTCAATGATTCGGCGTTTTTGATGCAAGAATGCAGGCTGAAGTTGTGGTTTGGCCGGGCACGGAAGACGTGTCAATGCAATGGGAACATATAGAAGGGGTGCATATACTTCTTCTATACCGGCTGGGTTCCTTGTTGCGGTGTTCACATCGCCCCAGTGTCACCGGTTGGTGTCCAGCACACAAGATTCCGTTTGATGGGTGCCAAGCTAAATACTCGTGATCTTCGTGCGCCAGCGAACCTTATTCTTTCGATCAGCACAAAAAAAAACTAATCATTCCACCTGCCTCACATACTGAACCCGAAGCCCTAAACCCGAAGTCAAGCAAGATGCTCATACCCTTTTAAACCACCGAATGTTCTTACACCTGCAGCATATACTGCACCGTAAATTCGGAACCCTACAACCCGAAACCCTAACGCCCTAAAGCTCTAAAGCCCAGATAACGTTGGACTCGGCCAAACCCCTGAACCCTAAACCCTAAACCCTAAACCCTAAACCCTAAACCCTAACCTGGAGCATTTCTGGGGACTCCCTGAGGTTTGCTGATAGCGTGAATGCGGCAACTGGCACGTGCTCTCCTCAGACGCTACACCCAACCCACAAAGATAAAGCAAGGATAGATAGATAGATAGATAGATAGATAGATAGATTACTAGATAGATAGATAGGTGCATGTGTACAAAATGCCCATCCATACGTACCTGCATACCAACACAGACACACATACATTGCTTACATTACAGACCGGCATACCTAGATACATACACACATGCATACATACAGACATACATCTACCCCGGAATTTCTAAACCCTAACTCCTACAGCTGAGTTGAATCCCAAACGCAAAATCATCCAAAGCTTTATTACAACAACGCCATATAGCGAATTCGGCAAAGCGGTAAGACTCATCAGTATTACTGCTTAGTAGGACGTCCCAACCGTGAACCTTTTTCCTGTAAATCTTCTTTGTTTGGATGTGTGATTTCGGTAAAGGTTGAGGCTCCGACTAGACTTTTGAGTCAGAGCTCAGGCAGCTTTTTGGGGTGGTCCGGCTTTGCCAATGTAGGTCCATCGCATGGGGCCCCTGCCTAGATCCGAAACCCTTACACCACACTACACCCCAATGCCTTAAACCCACAAGCCCCACAGCTGACCCCAAACCTTAAGTGCTATATGAAGCCCTCAGACCCTAAGCCGGATTGTAAAACCTTTCTAGAACTCCGGAGCCTTTGACTACCCCTTATGTAAGCTGCCCTAAACCCTAGCCCTGCAATTTAGAGGCTTAGATAAAATTACAAATACTGTTTTGGGGGGTTCCTTATTGTAACACAGCCCCTATCTCATAGAACCCTATGATCGACCCCTTATAGAACCCTTTCAAGAACCCTCAAAGAAACCCTACTAAACCATGTCGTTTCAAACCCTACACCCCGAACCCCAAATCTCAAACCCTAAACCCAATAGCTCCCTGAGCCCAAAATCCCAATAACCCCTAAACCCTATAGCTCCCTGAACCCAAAATCCCAATAACCCCTAAACCCAATAGCTCCCTGAACCCAAAATCCCAATCGAGGCCGGTGAAACTTCCCCCAGCCTTGTCAGCTTTGCAGTCCGCACCCACCCGGTTCCAGGCCAGAGAAAACCCGTGGGTTCGGCTCTAGGGGTTATAAGTGTTCTAAGGGTCGTTTCGGGTTTACGGGACTTTATGCTCTTTCGTTTTCGGGCTTGAGGTTTTTGGTTATGAATCTGTCGGGCTCCAGGCTTTAGGGGTTAGCACTTGCAGATTCTTCCTGGGTTCGGGACAGAGTCATCTTCGATGGAGTTGTTTACGGCTTTTTCGAAAGGCCACTGAGGCCTTTAATTAGGGTTTGGTCCGTCGGGATGTGGGGACGGCGTAAAGCTTGGAGTTTGAAATTAGGGGTTTGGGACGTCAGACCCAAAACTCCTTACGGCGTCGGTTGGAGGCTTGTTTGAAAATTGGGACGTGTGTTCAATATTGCAAGGGTCTTATAGTTACAAAAGCCAAAGGTTATGGGGGTATATTCTACTATAACTGTCGATATAAGGGCATGCGGGTACTACCTATTCCCACTTCTAACCTTCACCCTTCCTATGCAGTAGGAGCAGCCCCCAATCCCAATTATGCTCTGTCCTTGCATTTCGGAGTTGCCTTGCTCTGTACCCTAGAACCCTAAACCCTAAACCCTAATGTTGGTGCTTGTCTGCTTCGGTTGCAGGGCTTTGGGCTTCGAAACGCCAAACTGCTCTGGTGTAGGGCTTCCCTAGACCCTGAAATGCAGCAACTTATTTGGTGTCTAGCTGCCTATTATGCGACCTTAGCCATGACATGTGTTATCCAAGAGGGCACTACATTCTAGGGCTGGCGCGAGCTCCACGGCCCTCGGGTTTAACAGTTGCTAGTCAAGGGTTACAGTAAGGGGTTCTGGTAGAGAGTTCAGGCTCTGGGGGTTACTGACTAAACCCTGACCTCCCCCTAACCCATAGAGGCTCAAGGGTTGCTGCATTAGCGAACTTTTTGGGGATTTGTTTTAACCCTGGGGGCTGCTGTTTTGAATAAACGTTGGTCATGAGTCACGAAGCCGACGTCTTCGAAGGTCTTGGGCAACTCCGCCAAAGCCGTGCGCAATGCCATCGAGACTACGGTGAACGGACAGGTCTGGCGCCCTTTACGGACAGGGGTCTTGATAATAATAAGTCTTTGTATCAACCAGAATATCAATAGTAGTTGAAGCAAACAGTTGTTGTCTGGCTTCTGTATGTTAAAAGGGACCTAAACCCTAAACCCTAAACCCTAAACCCTAAACCCTATGGGGGGATGGTCCTTGTTTTCATTGAGGACCCCCAGGATCCAAGGTCGGGTGCTGTTAGGCCGCACTCGGCATCCCCAGTCACCACAGGTGGCATCCAGTTCTTATGGTGTCCTTTAGGACGTACTATCGGGTTTGCACTAGTTTGAACTGTTTCTACCGGGTTTTCTACAAGCCCGATCTGTCACGCAGAACCTCCAAGACTTCAGCTGGTCACTCTGCAGGATACGGTTTAGGCTCTTTTGGGTTTAGGGGATACATTCCTACTTGAATGGACTTTTCCCATTTTGAAAGGGCCCGGAAGCCCTCAACCCCGTCCCAAGGTCAGTACCGGTGTACTGGCATCCTTTCTGCATCTGCTACGCAAGATGCTCCCCTGCTGCTAGCAGGCGCTGGATGTTGGGTTTCGGCATATTCGGGGCGTTATTGCTTTTTCAGATCTCATGGCCATCATGCTTGCCATCCTTCGTGGCATCCTTTGCAAGGTCATTAAGATATTCGCCACTTGCGAACCTGTACTTACGTCAGAGCTGCTTGTTTCCATGGAATGGTGCTTTGGAAAGCAACTACCGCAAAGTCTTGAAGTTTCTGTTTGGCCAACCCAGAAGCCCTCACCGGGAAGATTTTCTAGCAGCTACCTGGACCTGACATCTTCTATATACAACCTTTCCTCCCCCCCCCCCCCCCCCC